CGTCAGCCATGGAATGCGCTGACGTTGCAGCTTTCACTTTCGCTACGTGACAAATAAGATCGTGTTTACTCTGCAAGTTTATTTTGGCAGAAGCGACGGGTTATTAATTTATTTGCAATTTTGCGAGTATTTCTTGTGGTTTTAGGCATATGAAGTAAATTCTTTGACTGTTTCATCGCTTTGGAGCATGCACTGCGTTGCGACTGTAGTACTAAGAAAACATGCACAGTTAAATTTAAAAAGCGCGGTTATAAGATCTAACAGATCTTCTTGTTGAACTTGATTTGGTCACAGTAGGAATATTTTGTTTCCGTTTTAGTCGCGCACTGGTAGCGTAGTTGTCTGCGTCAGTGTCAACCCTAGCGCGCGCGTTGCGCGTAAAGTGGCTCCCTAGAGTATAGTGTTATAAAGCAAGTGTTAGAAAAGGAAACTTAGCTAATTTCTCTTTAACTTTTTCCTGTAGAAATTTACAAGGTTATTTTTTGGTTGTCAATTTTTGGATTAAGGCCATTACCATGGCAACATCTCATTTAATGACAGGCAGATATATCCCTCATTTTGGCCTAAACTCCTAAATATTTATACTTTCCTTCGGTGAAATTTTTTCATACTTTGCCACATCATGGAAATGACATTGCGTGGCATTTTGAATTGGTAAAAAGTCAAGGTTGTTCAGACGGTTTTTGCAATATTCTGCAATGTATCATTCTTCTAAATATATTAGATTAGCTCTGACAAATTTTAACAAAAATANTAGTTTTTGAGCTTGAAGACGCTAACAGTTAGTGCATGGTTAGCGATATGCTGCTATTCTGGTGTTCCTGGTTTAAGTACAACTTTATTGAACTTGATTTGGTCACAGTAGGAATATTTTGTTTTCATTTTAGTCGCGCACTGGTAGCGTAGTTGACTGCGTCAGTGTCAACCCTAGCGCACGCGTTGCACTTAAGGTGGCTCCCTAGAGTGTTGTGTTATAGAGCAAGTGTCAGAGAAGGAAACTTAGTAAATTTCTCTTTAACTTTTCCCTGTAGAAATTTACCCCTTAAAACAAGGTTATTTTATGGTTGTCAATTTTTGGATTAAGGCCATTACCATGGCAACATCTCATTTAATGACAGGCAGATATATCCCTCATTTTGGCCTAAACTCCTAAATATTTAATATACTTTCCTTCGGTGAAATTTTTTCATACTTTGCCACATCATGGAAATGAAATTGCGTGGCATTTTGAATTGGTAAAAAGTCAAGGTTGTTCAGACGGTTTTT